TCACCCCTGAGCTGGCAGTGCGCTGGGAGCTACGCACTCGCTCGACCAACCGAACGTCCCTTGTCATCACCCGACTCCGCAGTCCCTACGCGTGGGCGCTGGTGGAAACGTGATCGAGTGACCACGGTCCGGTTCTACAAATTACTATACTCAATGCCACATAAAAAAAATTAAAAAAAGTTTTGCGCATTATGAATACGCCGCAGGAAGTAATTTTTACGACACTCGGGTGCCGGAGCAAAGAAAAGTACGTTTTTTGGCGTTTGAAATGTGCGCATCTTCATAAAATAGCGGCGAGCTAGTTAAAATTTACCCAGTAAATCAGTAATAATCAGCGAGAAGACGGACTTTTCTTACTGGGGCTCTGTTCGCTTATACTCCTTCGACCCCTAAGCTGACAGTACGGCTGAACGTACGTTCTCATTGAACCAGTCCTACGCGGTTCCTTCGCCACACGATAACGATGTGGCCTGAACCCTCGCGCAGAGAATCGGGTGGTGAAAAGGAGGCCGTTCATTGGTCGGACGAGCGACTAGCTTCCACCCCACTGTCGGCTGACGGGAGGACGGTGTGGCGGGGCGTACTCGAGGAGGCCCAAGAGGCACCCCCCTGCCCCACCCTGCCCCCCGGGCGTAGTAAGTACGTCCGCGGCAGCGTCGTCGAGAACGAGATCCCGCGGGACGGTCCGTCGTCGGCGGGACGACGGCGGCACGCGACTCGTTACGTCATCGGAGGAGGGGGAAGGGCGTGGGAATCTCGGCGGCGCCATTTTCCCACGGGGTCTCTCTCCGGCCCCTCGGCGGTCGGCCGCGCCGCTCCGCTCGCCAAGCGCTGGACAGCGGGGGACGTCGACCGCCTTTATCGTCGCCGAGAACGACGACCCAGTCTTCGGACTCTCGCGTCGCCCGACCGAAAGGGAAGAAAGAGGACACACAAAAAAAGAGCAAGCTGTTTGGTGCGCTCGGGACTTGTACGATACACGTGACAAGTAACTTAACTAGTTGTATTATTACTTTTTGCGCTAACTTTGTAATCATTTGGTCACTTTTATTACTAGGTAGTCGCAAGAGCAATCTGATTATTTGTGGAAATACGAAAATTACCCGTAACCGCTTATATTGTTTCTACGAGTTTCCTGCCTATAGGAGCCCTCGCACCATGTGTCCGACAGGAGGATGGTAGACCGAAATTGGCGGGCTAAGAAGATAGGTAGCTTGTAATTCGGTGATTCCAATCCAAAAAGACGGTACCAAAGAACCGTCTTGGAACTACCTCCCCGCCATCTGCAGGGCGTTGGAGTTGCGAATAGGGTGACATACTAAAAATATAAAGCGCTGTTCTGCCTACATAAAGTAGACAGGACAGTGCTATGTCCTTGTCTCTCCCTTCGCGCCTTATATCTTCAGTACGTAGAATTAATTAGCCCCCCTTCGTAATTTAGTATAGGGTCGGCTGCATTTCGGCTAGGCTTCAACCCCATAAGCAACCCCCCCCCTTCAAGGCCCTTTGCTTTGAGTGTTCCCTCAAGCTTGTGATGCTGGCGAGCTTTACGTTCGCACCGCCATCTAACCTGTCGTTTTGTGACGCCAAGCACGGTTGCGGCCCATACCGGAGTTCGAAGATCAGAGCTTGGGCGGCAGGAGGACAGGCCAACCGACGGAAAGGACGTGAAAGTGGGTTTCGAAATACCGGCTGGAGAGAGACGTATTTCTTTTGCGTGCGAAGCCGAAGCTGAAGAATTAGAAACACGAGCGTATTGCCCTGGACGTTGCTTTCACCGCAGGCACTGCGTGCTTGGCGAGGACGCTGAAAGCGCGGGGCTAGCCAGGCTCTCGTTCGGCGTTACGCAGTTCGCCGTTCGGTGTCTATACGCGTCGTCCCGTGTTGCCGCGAGGTGGCTCTGTCGCTTGGCCGAAAAGGCCGGGGTGTTCCGTGGGGCCGGAGAAAGTGGAAACGAAGAGCCACGCAAAAAAAGGTTTGAATAAAGCGAAAGCTTAATGATCTTTCACGCGCGATAAAAATATTTGGCGGCTGCTTATTTTGAGTTCAACAGTATTCTGGAGCCACCTTGGCAGCTAATCAAAGAAGGTTTTCTTAGAGCTAATCAAAAGGCTCGGAGCCCAAAGCAAATGCGAACGTCCCAAAAACAAGCGCATACTCGAGACATCATCAGAGAACACATTACGAACGAAGCTAACGAGAGCAGCTATAAACAATACGAAACACCTTCGTATACGAAGAAGTTATAGGCGGAATAAAACCACTCCCGAAGTGGAGATCCCACAAGCAGACATGGCCAAGAAGACAAAACATCTCTCACGCGGGGTTCTATAAACTGGGTGTACCTTCGCGGCGTTCACGTTCGCTCCCTTTTGGGGCCTCCCGATTCCGGCAGAAATCATGAGCCGTGCCGTGCCCTGGTAAAAACCTAGAGTAAAGCTAGAGTAAACAGTCGCGGGAGCACAACTTCGCGACATGTGGAATGAATGCAATAATTTGACTCGGCGCCTATACTTCGTGTAAGGTCCAAACCCACGCTACGTACTAATGGGATCAATCAGCCAGCGTCAAAAATGGAAGTCACTCGGCCTTTCATTTTTTTTTTTTATGACTGGTTCAGCGATGATTGAGAACGTACAGAAACATGACGAACAGCAACACCATGATGGTGCCCTTTTGACTTGATCTGATCGGTCTCATCAGCACGTATACCATTGGCTCCGTCTGGACTTACGGTTAAACGAAGTATAGAAACACGAAGAAAAAAATATAACTGTACTCATTTTCAGGTCTTGGGAAGAAGATGTAGCGAGTAAGGGAACCATACGTTACCAGTTACTCCAATTAAGTAAGATAAATACATTACCCATGTTACTGTTTTGAAAGAGTGACAAGTACGTTACTGCGTTACAGAAAAAAGTAACGGGTTACCCGTAACACCGTTACTTGTAACACTTTACCGCGAACGCTGCTACAGTTATCCTCGAATGAATGCGTTGAAAAGCGAAGAGTTAATAATGACGCCAAATATTGGAAGGCGGCTATTGTTTCAGAGAAAGGACACATTCAGCATAATGAGAAAGTAACCCTTTGACCCGAACTAACGCGTTCCTCTTAAATCTAAGTAACGAGTAACAGTGTCCTTTACTTTCAGAAACGCGTCCATGTCTCAACCACTCTTCGTGTCCTTTTCGTGGCTTTCCTTCTCGGACACTTGAGGCCGCATCTCGTCCGAGAGGGGGGGAAAGACGGGGAAACGGTAGGCAGTGACTGCATAAACATTAGTGCTTTTCATTTATCTGCGCCAACATCGTGAGAGCAAGCCAGGCGCTACGCGGCAGACTTGTTGTATGAACACGCGAATACGTTTTCGCGGTCCTTAGTGACCGTGTCGGCGACAATGCCTGGGGCGCCTGAAAGGAAACAAGTACTGCGGTCGAGGACACCCCCCCCCCCCCCCCCCCCCCCCCCCCCCCCCGAGAAGGGGGAAGCTGGCGGAGAGTCCAAGTGTCTCAGCCCAGTGTTCTATCTCCGTGAAAAGTCACACCCGCCAGCAGGCGGTTTGTTCTTGACACGTGCTAAAAGCATCTAAAAAAATTATTTTTTTTTTTTTGCAGTTATAACGGCGCATAGACAAACTCTCTACGTCTGTCCAAATGTAGCGCAGGCGGCCCGGACCAGATAAGAAAGCTTTAGAGAAGGGCTGGCCAAAAACCTGCGGATCGCGAGCCTCGTGCGGCTCTTCGCGGGTTCAAGTGCGGCTCGCGGCTCCCTAGTAAGTGTGCCCCGCTCGTCCCTTTTCTTTCTCCAAAACAAAAACAATTTCTAAAACTAAAAGATAAGCTAAATGTTGTACCTAAGACGCCGAGTGTGATTAGGCGGTTTATTCCAAACAGCAGGACAACCAGGCAGCGACAACCCCCAGGGTCCGATAGGCGCGCAGTTTTATAGGCGGCACCGATAACACTCGCAACGACGTCATATGGTATCAATGCAAGATTCCACACGTGAATGATAACCATAACAGCACATTGAAACAAGTCACAGCGATGCATCAATAACAACAACACTTTCAATTATACAGCATTTCCAATAATACGACACTAACAGTTTTCTCATATTGGTGCTAGGCAATACGTACAGTGCTAATCACACTTGTCTATAACGCGCGAGCGTGCGGCTTTCTCCGGGAAGCGCTAGACTGGTGGCATTTGCGGAAACTAAGCTAGTCACGTGATGCAACATGGAACGGCCCGCTCGAGGGGTGTCCTGCCCACTCTATCAGCTGGGACAACCGCCACTTCGCTCATTCCCACTATTCTTGTTCGGACGTCTTGCGCACTCGTGGTGTCATTGTCGGCGATCGGCGCTTTTGTCCTGTAGGATTCTCTCGATACTATGCGCAATCCTGTTGAATTCAATCAATTGATATACTTTTTTTTTTTTTTTGCATAGTAGCAAGCCTTGATAAGCGATAAAAGTAAAGTGCTTTGTGATATATTTTTGTTTTTTGATGACGACATGGTTGATACGCCCTCATGCTTTAGTGTGTTTATTGTTCGAGCAATGATGTTTGTAAAAAGCGTGCGAGCAGCCTTCCGCGTTCGCCGCCAGCGCGTTATAGACAAGCGTGATTAGCACTGTACATACACTTGGACTACTTTTTTGACACATAGATGTGTCCAGTGACCCTGTTTCCTTCATTGTATACGGGTAGCGGGCATCAGGGGCAGTGGCTGGCCAAAGAACCATGCATTCATTTTTGCTTAGCCGTTGAAGACACGTTCTCCTGTCTGGTGTTATTTGTTGTAGCTGACAGTTAAGGGCTGTTTATACTCCGACGTCGACGAACGTGACGTGCGCCGGCGTTCGTCGTCAACAACGACACGACGCGCTGCGCTGAAAGGGTTGCGGTCAACGGCATTTATACTCCATCGCGGTCCAGCGCGCTCCGACGCGCACTTCGCGTTGCGCCTGCGCGTCGCCATGACAACCGCGACATAAGCTGATGGTTTATTTCCGTTTCCGTTTGCATTCTGTCCTGACTTGTTCAGACGGGAGGAACCATGGAGAGCCGATTCGCGATGTATTTAGATCAGCAAAAAAAGAAAAAAATTGCAGCGGTGCTTTTATGGCGCCGAATACGGCGCCAGAGAACACGCACGATGTACGTACGAGACATATTTGATAAGCGCACAGTGTTTGGAGAATTTTACCATCTAATACAGGAGCTGCGCGAGTCCGACCCAGAATACCACTTCCAATATTTCAGGTAAGGCGACGGTCGATAGTCATGTCGCTTATCATAGTGAATCAATTCTGTCGTTTCCTTTTCTGCAGGATGACGAAGGCTTCATTCGACGAGCTGCTCGGACTCGTCCACGACCGTCTTGTACACTCGCCCACACATCGCTCTCCCATCTCGCCCGCTGAGCGGCTGGCCATCACACTGAGGTATGTACTACTAAGGTGCCTTCATGTGCACTTTGCTTGGGGTGATGACATTTTACCATTTTGTTTCGAACGCTTATTTTTTTTTTTTTTTTGTTCTGAAAGCGTGAAAGAGTGTGTCCCTGCACGCGCTGCTGGCGTGACTATGCTAAGGCAACATTTTGTTTCTTGCGATTTCTTTGTATTTTCCCTGTGAGCGCGTGCTGTCGGCATCGGGCACTACAAACGGTGGCATCCCCCAAAACAGAAGTACATTGAGGCACTCTATGTACTACATATTTGATATACACTTCATTTTCGCGGATGCTTGACTGATTAGGTTATGCTTCTATAGCGCTGTACTACCGCCGTACACACGCCCAACTCGTATTAAAATACCTCAAACCGGGAACTTATGCGCTCTTATCTACTCCGATATTTTAATTGAGAGGCCCAGTCTTGACAGTGCGTTTCAAAATAAAGTTTGGGCTCTTAAATCGCCAGCAAAAATCCGGGACGCGACGTTTCAGGTAGAAACTTACCTCAAATGCTTCCTTTACTGGTTGGATGTACAGCACGCATTAATATTTTAAGTCTGAACTCCTGGAACGAAAAAAACGCCTAAAATGGGAAAGTTTTCTTTTTAAGTTTTTCGTACTTTAAATAGAGACTTGAATTTGTAATATGTAAAGGGGACTAGTGAGGTATGTATTCGAGGTAAGTTTCAACTTGATAGGTTCAGTTACTGATGTTCGACGGGCCATTAGTACTACCTTGTAACTTTATTTTGAGACACTCATAAATAAGCGGATCAACGTATCATTGTAACACTTACTACATCAAACACATATCTTACTAAATAGAAAGGCTGACCCACTTGACAACATCGTCATTCATTTTTTTTTGCACTTTAAATTGAGACTGAAAATTTTAATGAGTAAATCAGCACAGTAAAACTCATATTCGAGATCAATTTCCACTTCATGCGCCAATCCCTTATTTTTGCGGGCGGTTTTAGAGTAGAAACTATTTCAAAACACCGTAGAGCGTCAGTCAAACACATTTAGTACATATTTACATATTGCGTGTATAGCAGTATAAGTCTGACGGAGCACTCTCGTAGGTCGTTCTTAGTCACAAACAGTGCAAATGACTGACTAAACAGTTGCTCTGAGTTAGGTACTAAGTCTCACAATTTTGTTTTTCACATTTCTAGGTTCCTTGCATCACCAGGATCCCTGGGCCATGTGGCCATAAGTTACCGCATGCATAAAGCAACATTATCGGGGATCCTCCAGGAAACGCTGCCAGCCATCTGGGACTGCCTCTCCCCGTTAGTGCTGCAGCCACCCACATCACAACAGTGGGAAGAGATCCGGAGGGAGTTCTGCGTCAAGTGGAACTTTCCTAACGCCATTGGATCAATAGATGGCAAGCACTTTGCGATCAGGTGCCCACCAAACTCTGGCTCAATATTTCACAACTACAAGAAATTCTACTCGATGGTGCTGCTCGCTGTTGTTGATGCCCACTACAGGTTTCGACTGGTGGACATTGGGGCTGCCGGACACCAGTCCGATGGCGGTGTGTTGAGAGAGTCTAACCTCGGAAAGGCGTTAGCTGCCAACACCCTCCAGATCCCTGTAATCGCAGAGCCTGCACCACCTCTGTGCCTCCTGGGGGATGAAGCCTTCCCGTTGAAAACGTACCTCATGCGCCCTTTCCCCGGAAGAGGCTTGGACTACCGAAAAAAGGTCTTCAACTACAGGCTCTCCCGGGGCAGGCGTACAGTAGAAAACGCCTTCGGAATACTTGTGTCTCGCTGGCGGGCGTTTCTGGCTCCCATGCATGGCACTGTTGAGCACTGTGAAAATATGATAAAAGCGGGAGTCTGCCTCCACAACTTCCTAACAAGGGATGAAGCCTACCGCCCTCCTGGATATGCTGACAGTGAAAGGAGGGGTGCCCGTGTGGATGGTCAGTGGCGAGCTGACATTTTGAATGTTGGTGTAAACAGGAGCCTAGGTGGCAACAGCAGCCCAGCAGCAATCAGCATCAGGGACCAGCTGGCAGACCACTTCATCTCCCCTAGGGGAGCCATCCCGTGGCAACACGACATAGTGACGAGGGAGTAGACGACGACACAAGGTTGTTATCAATGCTGTTCAATTTTTTTCTTTCCTTGCAAATAAATTGTATATATTTTCTCTGCTCTGCTTGCTTAACAGGGTTGACCGGCAAAATATATTTCGCAATCCCTCGTTGTTTTCACCTTCAAAGAGCTTACCTGCCTACCTTGGTGAATTTCGTTGTACAGGGGAGAGCGAGGTAATTGGCACAAGCGAGGAATATTGGCCATCCATGTTTTTCGCTTGCCACTGAGATACAGGCACGCATACCAAATGATTGGCTTCTTATTAAGTGAACCCGCAGGAATGTAGTAGTGGCTCACTTGGAAAATAGGACAGCTTGCGTATTAATTACAAAAGTCGGGTTTAATCTTTTCATTTACACCACAAAGGAGTAAAATAACATTCTAGATGTACTTTCGATAAGCCTGCTTTTCTACTTGCATTTTTCTCGGAAATATAAACAGGTTTTGAGCAATGCGTGCCACCCACGAAGCGAATGTAATGGGTAGAAAGCATGTTTGATTAACGGTATTAGCGCAGGCTGTGTGTCTGAGTAGCAGATGATGCTATTATGTGCACTAGACATTTTGCTAATTTACACAAGCACCAAAGATCATGCCGGGTTTGCAGGTACACTCGCTGCGCAAGGTATCGTCCACACTCGTGCGTACCTACATTCCAAGCCACTTCCTTGACGCTTGGGGTAAATTTGAAAAATGCCTGTAGGTGTTCTTTCAAGCTATTTTATGTGATAGGCATCCCTGCAGCTTGCCTCCAAGAACGAATTCTGAAGTATTGAACTAGAGAGTTAATAATATTCAGATTAACATAGACTGCTTCACAGATTATGTTTTTTTTTTCTAACGATGTACTAGAATTGCATACGCAGAGATTGCTCTTCGAAAATGTAGTTCATATTAACAGAATGTGTATATTATCAAAACATGAGTGGACACGTGTGCCTTCAGATGCACAAAGGTCGGGGGCGTTTTATTTCTGCTGAAATTTACATTCATACTCATACACAATCTGCATAACACAAGCCCTGAATTGGGCACTGGTGACCTCGTCCCAACGATCTAGAGATTGTGCTACACAGTAGGCAAACGCCTCGTTCTGTGTCATTTTAGTCCTTAAATTATTTAGAAGTTCTCTCTCCATTGCGTCAACCTCCCTTCTACGTGCAGAATGGGGGGGTCCTGGGCACCTTTGTGACTGGCCTGATGACCTCCTCGAGGTGCTTGATGTTGATACAACCGAGGTGGACGGCGTGGCTGGGACAGGAGCCTCGGGGCTGCACTGCAGCTCTTCTTGGGCAGGCTCGAAGTCAGTGGGCATGGTCGAGTCGTCAGGAGAAGATTCCACCATTTCCATTAATAGACACTGTGCTGTGTCGCCCACAGGTGGTGCCTTTACGTTGGTGGTTGCCCTGCAAATGGGATTAACATATGGGAGAGAAATTTAGTTAGATAACAAATAAGGACTCATGTTTTGTTTACATACTTCCTGGGTCGGATATGTTTATCGTAAAACGACATCATTTCCAGGAAGGCCCATTGTTTTTTCCGGACGAAGCCACTGCCACTCCTTGTGGCAGCTTCAATGGCGCGGACCTCCCGAACATACCTGTCGCGTACACGCTTCCACGCTTTTTGTGCGCCCTCACCTGAAATAAATATGTCAAATTCAGTTCTGCCAAATGCAGACGTGATACAAAAATAAAATGCTGAACAAGTTGTTATGTCAGGTAAGCCGCTTGCACTGCTTTTCTGTTTGAAGTCCTAAATAACTAGAGCGCCTCAATGTCTTTCTGTTTGGATGATGCCATCGTTTGTAGTACCCGATGGCGACAGCACGCGCTCACAGGGAAAATACAAAGAAATTGCAGGAAGCAAATAGTCGCCGTAGCTACACCGTGGCCGTAGCACAGTCAGCGCCACGCGCGCGTGCAGGGACACGCTCTTTTACGCGCTTCAACACACACACACACACACAAAAAAAAAGCGTTCGAAACAAAATGGCCAGATGTCGTCACGCCAAGCAAAGCGGACATGAAATCACCCTAGTCAACTTACCGGACTTGATGCCGCAGGCAATGCGCACGGACTCCCAGGCATTCTTTTTTCGCTTGGAATCCCTGTACTCTAGAGAACCGACGTCATAAAGACCCTCGCGCTCTCTCACCGCTTCAATGAGCCGCTCAACCTCGTCCGTCGTCAGATCGCTCGGTTCGCACTCCGCGGCACCTCCGTTCGCCATTTTTCTTTCCAACTGACGCTCGCGCGAGGAATTCTGGGTGACGACCGTCGTCGGCCGACGCCGAGATTCGAGCAGCGCCTACCTCGACGTGAGCTTCGCCGGCGCGCGCCGAGGCGCGTTACGTTGCGAGGCGGTCCACTTGTGTTCGGAGTATAAACTCTCCTTTCGCAGCTACGTCACGCAACGCGCTCGGGAGCGCGCGCCCGTCGACGTTACGTTGGAGTATAAACAGCCCGCCTCGACGTGAGCTTCGCTGGCGCGCGCCGGGGCGCGTTACGTTGCGAGGCGTTCCACCTGTCGTCAGAGTATAAACTGTCCTTTCGTAGCAACGTCAGGCAACGCGGTTGGGCGCGCGCGCCCGTCGACGTTACGTTGGAGTATAAACAGCCCTTTATACTAGCCCCCCTTTGAAAAATTGTTCCCTTCATAATATTTCTTGTTAAAAGCAGCCCCCCCCCCCCCCCCCCCTTCTTTTTTTCCCCTGCGGCTCTCTAAACTTTTGTAGTTTTTTTCTGCGGCTCTAACCCCATATCACTCTGGCCACCCCTGTTTTCGAGCCTGCCAGGGGTTCCCCAGGAATGGAAATTAGAGGGGTGTCTAAAATTTTAGGGGGGTGAGGAGTTAGGGGGAGGGGGGGCATTGGGAATAGAGGATCGTAGTGAATTAACGAGGTGCCTTCAGAAAAAACAAGAGGGGGGGTACACCCCCATAAAGGGGGGGGGGGGGGGGGTGTAGGGAAATCAGTGGAGCCTGCCGTTATCTAATTCGGAAGCTCAGCTATGCACCAAGAAACTGAGGAAGAGGAGGACACGAAAGCGCGGGAACGTCAATACGCTGAGCCCTGGTTCGATTGATTAGGGATTGGAACAATTTAAGTGTTGAAACTGTTTCTGCCGCGAATGCAGAAATGTTTTTTTCTATGTTGTTCGCCCCCTGCAATGATGCCTCAACGGCGCTGCAGGAGCTACCTGAATAAAGATAAAGAAAGGCCTAAAACCTAGCTGCCTTTGTCTCCATTTCACTCGTCGAGCGCGTTCAAATCCGGGAGTCAAACGCGGGACGCCTGCGTTCCGCGTTCTAAAGGGCTGTCCAAACAGGAGACTTCAGAAATCGTGAGGGCGACACAACTCCGCCATATGAAGTGGAAAATCAAGTCCGGCGGTCCGTTTTCTGTTTGGACATCACCGGGCAGGCATCACGCTTCCATGCGTCTTTGTATGGCGGCCACATTTGTCACACTAAAAGCGGTGTGCACCACCCGAGTGCCGGCCGCTCGTTGTTTACCCTGTGTTGTATAGGGTGCTCAAAGTGGCCACATCTCATCACATCGTGAAGAGTAGTTCGAAAAGTATCGTAACTACAGTCACTTTGCAGGAGCTTTGCTTGGGCGCCGCCATCACTAGCTGTTGTCTCCTATTGTTTAATTTACTTCGTGATTACCATAGCAGGACAGATTATTACCATTTGAGATTCTATCGTGTTCTTCTCCTCAGCATTGGCCTTTGTGGAGGCTCGTCAAGGCCCGTTTCAGTGGCTCAGAAGATCAGCAATGGCAGCTGTAATCTGGCGTGCGTGCAAAGCGTCTCTATCACAGCGGGTCCGTGTACGAGGGTTTGCTAGACGCGTATTTGTGTGAATATACTCGCGCGCGCTTCCTCGCCACCAATGGTGATCACTGCGCTCGACGAGTAGCAGCACGACTGCCCAATGTCCCTTAGGCAGGCCGTGTGCTTTCTCCGCATTTGTGCCGCTTCCTCTCGAGATCATTCACTGGGAAGCCCGGAGCGCGATGGGTCCACGAAGCAGAGCGCCGCTTTGAGCACGTGATGCCTCCCCTCTTATGCCGAGAGTAACCCGGGTGCACTCGAGGAAAACGTTCGGCTCGCACCGGTATCCAATCAGTCACGAGAAGAGCGCCGCGTCGGCGTTCGGCTGGCAGTCGGCTTGTCGACTCCCCAGTTGGCGACCGGAAATGGTTAGGTGCCAGCCATATAAGACATTTTGCGTTAAAACTGTCCGCATTCATGTTCCAAGCACACACACGAAGCAAACATGGTTCAGACATGCTTAGCTGCAGTGTCCGCGGATGCTCGTGTCGTCTGCACGATGTATGGGAAGTGGCCTCGTTATCTCGGGGGTGCCGACGCCTGCCGGTGTCCGACGAACACCTGTTGCGACCTCCGCGGTGGCGGGAAGTGGCGCAGGTGGCGTCCGCCGCCGACACTGTTCAAAGACACGGCCGTCCCTTTATCGACGCTCGGAGACGCGTACTGCGCTCTCGGCCAGCCTGTCGCTTCGATTCCGACAAGTGCGTCGCACCCGAAGATACCGGTCGTAGATACGTGGGTGTGACCAGGAGTCAATTTGTGCTCCTCACTCACTCTTCGGCGCCTACTTTTCCACGAAGCGCAATTGAGAGAGAGCCAGTCGCTGCCGAGGGGTTTCGGCCAATGACGAGGTTCAAAAACAGAACAGACCGTACGGTGGCTCTGAGTGTGAAGTTTTACCGCGGTCAATGCCACGGCGCACATTATTCGCTCCACTGAGGTTAGGGGGGTGCGTCCGTGTGCAGTGTACGAAGTTCGCTAATGGCCAGCGCATGTAAAGCCCCTGGAACACACGTTCGAAAATATCAACCGAAAATCGCGCGGAAGTCGAATCATGAGAAGCGTACGTTTAAGGCTATTTTTTTTTTCTTAAACTAGGGTCTATATTTACCGCACGATGATAGTCAATCTGGCTTTAGTTAAAAAGCATAATAAGGAGTTCCGCGCAAGAAATGTGTACACGTAATTCTCTACCAAAAAAAGAAAGGGGAAGATCATTTCTTGGCGTTTCGATTTCAGCACAATG